CTTGGTATGGTACACTACCAAGTATGTAATAGCTTGGTGAAATAAAAACAAGTTTCTTCTCAGATCAGGGAAGTGACACTTGTGATTTTTAATTATTGGAAGTTGCTAGCCCAGCCAGTAGCCCCACAGAAGAACTTTGTGTTTCTCTGCAAGAGCCCCATGTTTTCTTAATGAGAAGTCTTTCTCTACCAGTCCCTTTTGAAAATAAATTCTACATCATTTATCAATCAGGAAGGGGGCACAACACATTGGCTCTTTTTTACTCTCCCGCTTTTGCTCTTATCACTATTGTGTGCTTCTATTTCCCACAGTGTTAAAGTTAAATATTTTTATATTTAATGTAGTGCAACCAAAAATTCTTTAATTTATAAAATTAAGATTTACCTGTTGTTTATTGTGGACCATCCACAAGTGGCTGAGGTCTTTCTGCTGTATTAATATAATCATATATTAACATGATGTTTCAGAATTAGATCAGTCTGAAGTCTAATAACACTGGGGTATTTTTGTTAGGCTTTTATGATGACTTCTGGCTGAGGCAGCCTCTCTAGCAATTATTGTAGGAGATAAATATTGCTATTGCAACTTTTGCTAGAAATGTTGTGGTCATTAATTCACACTTGTCATATGACTCTAATCGATTTGCCACCACTCAGTCTTCCTTTTATCACCTTAAAAACATTTCTAGGCTAACAGCCTTTCCCTCTATGGAATCAAGGCTTTAGTACATACTTTTAAATATTCTAGGTTGATTAAAGCCAAGTCACCTTTCTGGGTCTCCAGAATGACTCTTAATAAAATTGCAATTAGTTCAAAATGGAGTTGTTCAAGTATCAGTTTATATAAGGTCTTCGGCTCATACTGTGTTCCAGACATTACATGCACCAAATTAGGCAAATAATTAATGTTAAGATTTTGCTTGATGATCTACAAGGTTTTTCATGATTTGATTCCTTTATAAATTAGTGAATTTCTACCCTTTTATACACTGTCTTAGCCACTAGTTGTGAAAAAGTTTTTGTTGGTAATTTCACCATATGACTGAAATCTTTTTGGTTACATTCTGTTCCACTGTTGTGAATTTTTTTACATGGCTAAATTAAGTATACTAAATCATTGCTCATTTAAGTTTACCATGATGGTGATCTTTGATATGAAAGGTGTTAAACAAATGCTTTTGGAATAAGAAACTACAAGAAAAAAATTGTCAAAAATATTTTTGTAGACATTATTCTGCTTTTTATGTATCTTTACAGGTAAATACTAAATACAAAGCAAATCTAGGCTTTAGTTCTATCTTTATTCAAGTAAAACTCCCATTTATTTCTATGGGAGTTTTGCTCAAATAAAATACACAGTGTTTAACCCTATGTTAATGCAATTCTAAATTTCCCCATTTAAAATTAAGTGTCATAAAATACAGAAGTGAAGATTTATATATCAGTATTAACTAAGCCCGAATGCAGATAGATAATATTTTTTTTCTTTATTTTATCAAACATGGAGCAGAGGGAGAGAAATACTGGCCTGATTGAGTCAATGGTAAAACTCCCATTGTCTTTAAAGGGCCAGGATTTCATCCAAAATGTGGAGTTTTGTTGAGTTAATGTTCCTGTAGAAGCCTCTATTTCTTGTTTGTTTGTTTGTTTTAAATAAATTTACCTGTGGAACCTTCATGCTGCATTAACTTAATATTTTTAAATCTGTTTCTTGATAATTTTGGGAAGAGTGGGGTGGGAAAGAAATGTACATGTTATCGTAATTACATTTCAGTGTTTCTAATTAGGCTTAAAAGTTGTTTGACTAGAATTTTCTTGAAAGGCTGGGTCAACAGAGCAGCAGAATATCTGTTTACATAGCATTGTCTGTATTTTGGTAAACTAGAATTATAGAAATTTAAGGTGTTAATCATAATAGGCTTTCTTATTTACTTAAATGGGAACTCTGGAAAACTTAGAATTTAGATAATACTGTATGAACAATGCACCAAAAATATGGACACACCCAAAAACTTCAGGATTCTCAATTTTTTTCATATCCACAATTTTATTATTTTCCTGGTGTCTAAATAAAGCCTCTGTTAACAAGTGTGGGGTGCTTTTTTCCAGTGAGACTGATGCATTCTCCCTCATATTAGGTCTAGTCAGGGAAACCCTTACTCATGTGAATGGTCCTTCTGGGTATGTGTACACTGCAAAAAACAAAAACAAAACTGTGGCAGTGAGTCTCAGAGCCTAGGCTTACAGACTTGGGGTTGCACTACGGTACTGAAAGTAACAGCGTAGGCATTCACACTTGGACTGGAGCTCAGAATCTGAGATCTGTCCCCCTTGCTAGGTTTCAGAGCCCAAGCTCTAGTGCAAGTCTATAGACCCAGGCTCCGAGACCTGCTGCCACCGGTGGTTTTTTGCAGTGCAGTGTACCCACTGAAGTCACCTTTAAAGGACAGATTGACCACTGCATTACTGCAATTTTCTGCCAGTATAACTCCTGTGGTGAATTGGGCTATAAATCTTTGTCATTGCTAACAAAAACAATTCTCTCTGTGGTTGTGAAGTGTTCCTTATTAAAACTAAAATGTAATACCAGCATATGAAAAAGAACTGTGGTTAAGACACAATCTCTTTATTTGATTAAAATATCACATCAGTATTATGTTAATATACTATCATAATCTTACAGACTGCTTTTAAAACATAAAGTCAGACCCATTCCCTGTTTCAAAGAGCTTACAGTCTAAAGTTCTGAACTCATGTTTTTACTTCAGATCTGAGGGCACCAATTACTTCTCAAGAGATATTCAGCACCTTGTAGGACAGAGCCCTAAGAAGTTACACAAGACACAGATGTCCTTTAGTAAGGTGGTAGAAAATATTTCATGGTAGCCAACATAAAGTTCATTTTAGCTGAGAAATAAGCATTTTATAGTGAAAGTTAGCTGTTAGGTCCTGATTCAATAAAGAATTGAATTTAAGCATGTGCTTAAATGCCTTGCTGGATTGTGAAAAATACCACTTATAACACACCACTAATTTTAATAAAGTGAATAAATATATCCCAGGGATCTCAAACTCAAATCACCACGAGGGCCACATGAGGACTAGTACATTGGCCCGAGGGCCGCATCACTGAAATCTTTTCATACATGATAGAAAAGTGTAGTCAAACATGAAGAAAAGGAGAGTAATATAGAAGAGTAATATAGTATGCTATTAAAAGTCAAAGTAGTAACTTTTTAAAAACTGTAATGTGAAGAGGGGTTTTAATAAAATATAAACACCTGTAACTATTCCTTATGTGGTCAGTAACACTGATGATGATATAACAGTCTGTCAACATAGCTGTAATGGCAGGAACTTTTTAAAGTAACTATTCATACAAAATATGTTGCCACTTTTAACAAACATTCTTCCCAACTACTCATAGCAAAGAATCATACATGCTGAACTTCATACCTCAGACTGCTTGTCTAGTCCATGAGGCCCCACCCCTTCCCCGCCCCCATCCCAACCCCTTCCCAAATCCCGTCCCCGCCTCTTCTCTGCCTCCTCCCCTGAGTGCGCCGCATCCCCGCTCCTCCCCCCTCCCTCCTGGAAAGTCCTAAGTGCTGCCAAATAGCTGTTTGGTGGCAGGAAGCACTGTGAGGTAGGCAGAGGAGCGGGGACGTGGTACGCTGGGGAGGAGAGGGGGCGGGGGGTGAGGGGAGCTTGGCTGCTGGTGGAGTCAGCACCTATGGTGGGCTGCAGGAAATAACTCCGTGGGTTGCATGCGGCCCGTGGGCCGCGTGTTTGAGACCCCTGATATATTCCCTCTCTGATACAGTGGTACTCTCTTATCTCCTAAATTCATTCTATGTGGTGGATGCCACCTATATGGATAACTGGTGAGTCCTCATCTGCTAGTAATCCAAGTGACAGCCAATCCAGAAGGAGAGATTTTATGCCCAGTACCACCACCTCCTCTCCTGACTTGCAGGCTTCTCCAGTTCTCACTGAAAGAAGATGGTTTGTCTCTGCTGAGGCACCATCTTACATCCAGGTCTCAATAGAGCTTCTGAACATGGACCAGAGTAGAACAAAACAAAAACTCCTTCCCAGAAAAATGATAGCTGAAACTGCCCCTTCTATGTGCTTCTCCTCTGCAGTCTTTGGCAGTGAGTCCATTCTACCCCAGACATAAAACAAGAAATACTGTATTCTCAAATCTTTTAGCTGGGGTAGTATGTGAAAAGAGAGCTGGTCTTTAGCTTATGCAGAACTCAAATCACTAAGGCTTTTTAGATCAGAACCAATACTTTGAATTGCATCACGGCTGCCTCTTGGGTCAGATGTAATATGTTCCCTGTGGGCTGCCACTTCTGCACCAGCTGAAGTTTACAAATGGTTTTCAGGTGTAGCCCCCAATGAAGTGCTTTGCTGAAGTCCAGTATTCAGGCGAGAGAGGCAAAAAATAACTGTGCCAAGTTCCACATCTAAACGGAATGATCACAACCTTCCAGTTAAGTACAAATAGAAAGTATACTTTTAACCAGTGGTATCTGGACATCCAGCAAGAAACCTTAGCTGCAATCTTGTGTAACAAAAGCCGCAGCCCAGGGAGTAGAAATTCTCTGCCATTTCCAGCTATTACTTCCCCATGCCTAACCAGCTTTCCCTTATTTCGGCTTCCCACTAGTTCTCATCCAGACATTTCAGTTATATGCTGGGCATATCAGTCAACTGCACTTTCTTCATCGAGTGAAATAGTCATAGAGCTGTGTATTATCCATACACTGTTGGGATTATAGCTCAAACAGCACACTATTCGAAACCACAAGTGCTGTTCATCTCAGTGAGTTAATATTTCCATTATTTCTAATAATTTGCTCTTTGTCTTCTCATTAATTTGGAAATATTACATATGGCTTCCTTTTTAAAAATAGAACACATTGAGCAAATACAGCATGTTTTTTTTTAAAAAGCTTATTGACTAATTATGTACCTTTTATTAATATCCTTTAGGGCCAGCTGCACAACAGTAACACTGTGCTATGCTTCGAGATGTCATGGGAAAAACCTTTCGACTTCTGGGGTATACCATTCAGTATGGATGCATAGCACACTGTGCCTTTGAGTACCTTGGAGGAATTGTTGTGGTAATTTATGTTTTCATGCTAATAAGGATAATGGGTTTAATCAGAACTTTATTATAATAGTGAAAAGTTTTAGTAGTATCAGCATTTTAACATCATACTTCATTTCTGCGGATACAACTTCTAAGTCTATTAGTGTCCAGTTCTGTTTGTTTGGTTTTTGTTTTGGATTAACTGAACAACCACTTCCTGGCTGCAGGAGTTGGCCTCATTACAGGCCTAATATTGCAAAGTACTTAGCTCCTCAAGTTCCACTGAAGCCAATGACAGTTAAAGGCATTGAGCACCTCGCAGAAAGTTGGGACCACAAATAGCTCTTTAAAAAAGGATTTTTTCCCAATCCTGCTCTTAGCGCTACCAGCACTAAACCTAGTAAACCTGGCACCCCAGAAATTGGTGGGAGTTGATATTGTAGAGCTACTGTCACAACTTCATTGCCACTCCCTCTCATAATGGCTGAGGAAAGGATCAAGGCGGGAGGACCCTGCAGATTCTCCCCACAACTTCCTGATGATCCTTGGCTGCTGTAATGGCCTTTTGGGATTGTTGGCAGCTGGTGCAGTATAGAACAATCTTTTTGGAGATCAAAGTAGACTGATGCACAATATATTGATATTTCCATAACACTTAAGTTGTGGGAGCTCAAAAGGAACCTTTATACACTCCTTTTTCAAATGTGTCTCGTACTCCTTGGCCACACCTAAAGAACTAGTCTAGTGTTTCCCCCCAAATTGTAGGTTTTTGGTGACTTGTTTGCAAATAATTTAATCTCGTAAGTATTATGCAAGTTAAAATATTTTGCAAATAGTGTGGTTTTTTTGTTTTTGTTTTTGTTTTTTTTAATTTACAGTGTTCTGGACCCTCAATGGAACCAACAATTCAAAATTCTGACATTGTCTTTTCGGAGAATCTTAGCCGCCATTTTTATTGCATTCAGAAGTATGTTGCTTTGTTTAGATTAATGTTTAGTTTTCTAAAGTTTGTCATGATAATGAATATCTCTCTGTCTATTGCCTTTCCAATGTATTTCCTATGGCAACTAACTGTCTCTTGTCTTTTTTCCTGTATTCATCTTCTTTTAATTTGTTTTTGTAAGTGCCAGTCTCATTTCACTTTATTTCTAGAAGAGAAGACAGATTAAAAGTTTTGCTTTTAGTCTCACAATACAAGATTACTTCACTCAGAGTTCTCCTGGGACGTCGTGGATGTCACTTTTGGAATTTTGGCCAAAAGACTGAAAATCCCTTGTGTCCTTCCAACCATGTTTCTCACACGACCATCACACTGAATAAGACTTCCTATTTTTCGTTTATTTTGTCCTATATGTGGAGCTGCTAGTATTGTTGTTTCCAGGCAGGAAGTTAAGGGAGAGCTTCTCACCAGAAATGATGAAAGTACCATTTATTATATTGTCCCCATGCCACCTTATTATTTTATGGAGCACTGCATGTGTACATAGTGGTCATTAGCCACATAAAAAACAAAGGCCCTTTCCCTGACTATTGTAGTTTACAATCTAACGCATGCAGAACAAGGAGTAATGGTCTCAAGTTGCAGTGGGGAAGGTTTAGGTTGGATATTAGGAAAAACTTTTTCACTAGGAGGGTAGTGAAGCATTGGAATGGGTTATCTAGAGAGGTGATGGAACCTCCTTCCTTAGAGGTTTTTAAGGTCAGGCTTGACAAAGCCCTGGCTGGGATGATTTAGTTGGGGAATGGTCCTGCTTTGAGCAGGGGATTGGACTAGATGACCTCCTGAGATTCCTTCCAATCCTGATATTCTATGATTCTAACTAAGGGATGATAGGGTAAACAGAGGTAGTGTAGGGGATAACAGACTCTTAGAAATAGACATTGGAAGGTTTCCTGAAAGAAGAGGGTTTTGTAGAGGATTTGAAGAAGGTTGGTGTGTATACAAGAAACTAGGCTGATCTGTGTATACTAGGCAGCAAACACACTGATGTAAATGCTTTTTACTTGTTCAGGGCATTGTCAGATGACAATCAGCTGTATTTTTTGTAATTCAAGTACTATACATTCAATCTCTTCAAATGTGCTTTTTAAAACATATATAGAATAATTGGTCCTTTTAGCTGAAGTGTCATGGAAAAAATAGAGATTATAGGCAGTGGTTCTCAACACGAAATAATATTCATTTAATTAAAAAATATGTAATTATTAGTTGTGTATATATATATATATATATATTCATTCAAAGATTGTTCTATACTGAAATTTCTTTACAATTTGTTCCCCCAGAGGTGATATTGTAATTGCAAAAAGCCCAAATGACCCCAAATCAAATATCTGTAAAAGAGTAATTGGCTTGGAAGGAGACAAAGTCTGTATAAGCAGTCCTTCAGATTTCCGTAAGAGTCACAGTTATGTAAGTATACCTTTCTCTTTTGTAAATCATATCAAGAATTACTTAATATGCAGTCAACATTATTAAAGTAGAAGCTGCTACTTCATATTTAAATATTGATAATTCTTGATGATGTGTAGCTGACTTTTCTTATGAAATTTTATTCTTAATGTTCATTCTTGTTCACTGTATGTCAGACAGTCTTCACAATCGGCATCTTCCATAGTGCTTGAGTCCTAATAAAATGAAGTGCTGGAACTGCTAGGCCCAGCTCCCTGCTGTGGAAGAAGAGATGGCGGCTCAGTAACCAGGGGGAACCGAGGAGGACTCCCTCAACATGGCTCTCAGCTGCAGGTTACTGAGCCACCACTTCTCCTTCCAGAGTGGGCCCAGAAGTGGAAGAGTTGGAGGAGGCAGCATGAAGGAGATGTTATCTCTGCCTCCTCCATCTCTTCCACTTCCAGGCCCACTTCAGAAGGAGAGATGGCTGTTTCTTTCTCCTTCTGGAGTGAGAAGCAGGGTCAGAAGTACTGGAATGCTATTCCAGTTCCTCCAAAAAGGGCTGGAACACTGTTCCTGAGCATTCCAGCATCATTTGAGTGGTGATCCTCCATATCTAAAGCAACTGGAGGCAGACCAGATCTTTACTCTGTTCTTTGCTTGGAACTGCCTTTCTGGAAGAACTTTCCAGAATTTTCTGCCTCCAAATGTACAGATGGCAGATTCAAGGACTCCCTTTTATAGCAGTATTTTCTCAGTATTTTGAAAAGAACTTTGACTAAATTTCACTCTGGCTTCGAGGAGTTTTGCTGCAAAACTACTATTTTTTTTTTCATTTAGTTTTCTGAAAAAGCACTTGGTCTTAACCCTCTGAGACAGCAACAGGAAGCAGAAGGGCAAGAAATGTTCCCCATTGCTCACACCATTTCCCAACTAACATGTTCTCCTAGGAAATCCTTAAACTTCATTGCAAGGCTCTGCTGTAAATAATTTGAGTTGAATAGCACTTTAAAACTTATATCTCATTAGTGTCCATAGCTGAAATATACTATTATCCTAGAATATTCTTCTTGGGGGGCAGTCCAAAGCCTGGGCTCAGAGCAAAGATTTGGTCTGTCTTCAGTTGCCATGGAGACAGGAACACTCACTGAAAAGACTGTCTCTCTGACCTGGAAGGTTTTATAAAGAAAATTCACAGGTAAGACACCATTCTCCTTTATCCCATAAATTATAGTGAACAATGTTTTCTGAGACTAGCGGCCTGATCCTGTGAAGTCATTAGTAAACTCAACTTCCACTGAAGATAGATCTCAAAAGTAGTTAATAGTTTACCTAATACCTTTTTATTTTACATATTATACATTAATATATTTGATCTTTTAAAGTTTATCCTGGTAAGTGTACTGTACTTTGGTACCTCTCAGTTTGTTGTATTAGGCTATGTGCGTATGTATTGTATGTATGTTGTATTAGGCTATGATTGAATATACGATCAGTACATTCAGTCATAAACTCTTTAATGAGCAAAGACTATTAATCATGTTGAATATATGTTGTTTTTGTTAGACTGCCAAATTCATTTCACAGGAAAATTTTAACATAACCTTACAGTATTTTAATAATTCGCAATAAATAGTCCAATGTGATAGTGTTTTTATTCTTATTAAAATGTACTACTTTTTCTCCTTTTATGGGGGCAGGCTTTGCAGCACTTAACCTTCTTTTTGGCTAAACGGTTTGTAAGCTTGTTTGTTGGAGGGGAATCATGACACTTTGAGTGACTTGCGAAGCAAGAAATACTAAGGATTGAGCAAATTAGTACCTTCCCCCCTCCCTTTCTTTGATTCTGGTGTTCACCAACTAGTGGTTCGATATTATAGTAAGTTTACTCAGTTAGTAGAGACACTATCTGATACCAGTAGAATCTGTGTAGCATCTTTATCACAGTTGAGACTTCAGTTGCTTCTAGGAAACTGCTGACTCTGTGAGCCAGAAAGAAATGTCCTCCTATCCATTTCTGTAGGAATTGTGTTCAGCTTGCATCAGCTAGAAGCAGGAGCGGTGCCAGGGTTTTTGCCACCCTAGGCGGCAGTGCTCCTCCTCTGAGCATTCGGCGGTGGGAGTCCTTCCGCTCCGCATCTTCGGGGCACTTCAGTGGCGGATCCCGGAGCAAGTGAAGGACCCGTCGCCGAATTTCCGCTGAAGACCTGGAGCGAAAGGACCCCCTGCCACCGAATTTCCACTGAGGACGGCAAAATGCTGCACCCCAAATCCTGCCGCCCTAGGCGACCGCCTGGGGTCGCCTAGTGGAAGCGCCGGCCCTGGCTAGAAGTTACTGTTGGCATATATTACAGATTCTAAGCTTGTGATCTCTGTGCTCATCAGTACCACTATACCTGAGACCTAAAACCTAAGTGTGTTCTAAAATCTAGTTCTACTACCCTCCCTAAATTTGTTCTTGAATTCACTTCTGTATGTAAATGGGGAGGAGGATATGGGATCCTTTATTATTAGGCATTGCTATCACTTTAAAAACAGTGCTTCTTTGAGAAATGGAGGGAAGAAAAGAGTGGAAGATAGCTGCTGATCACAAAATGGCACCCCATCAGAAGAGTGAATCTATAGTTTGAAAAAGTCTATTTTCCTTCCTTGTTCATTTCTCCTTTGGCATGTTCAAGCATTGCAAATGAGTATTTTACCTTCTTTAATACAAAGTCCATCAAAAATGTATCATAAATCAAGTTGACTAAAACAAAAAAAATCATCCTTGTTTGCCAGATTCTCAAGCCATGTCCATATTATGAATTGCCAGGCTCCTACACCTCCCCGTCCCATCCCATCCACCAGGGTACTTGTGTTGTTAGTGATCTTAAACCAGCATTCATATTTTTTCATAGTAATGGCCTTTTCTCTTTTCCCAGGCATTTTCTTAAATTATTTAATTTAAGATTTAGAAGTTACTTTTTAGCTATAAATTGAGTCTGGCAGGAAATAGACTATTCACAAAATTTCAGATATTTGGACAAAAGCATAGTTGTAAAGAATATCAACACTTACGATGCAGTGAAATTGGGTCATGGCATGTTAATCCTTGTTAAATATGTAGCTAATTTTAAATTTTTACAAATGAGAGAGAGCATTTTTCTGAAAATGGCAAACAACAGTATAACCAGACAGCTACGGATCTTAAAGATGAACTGGAAAGTTAAAATGAAAACTGAGTGAAAGTCCACAAATATGCGTTGAATTGCCCCACAATGAAATCCTTTTCTCCCTGTTTCTACTACTTAGTTCTCTGAAGACATTCCAGAATGTCAGCATTATGACATCAACTACTAGAAGTCTCACTGTAACAGATGATATTTGATGTCACAGAATGGTGGCATTCTGGGGTATGTTCAGAGACTCAAAGTATCAAAAAGGCTTTACAATTGCAAAAAGATGTTAGTGTAAGTGGAAACATTTATTTCTGTGTAAAGTAATTCATATTCATCTATTTCTGGACATACACTGAAAAGCAAAAATAAAAATTCAGTTATTTGTATGAACACTAGAGCCATTTGCTCCAGTACTCTAAAGTCCACCCATCATCACGTGTAAACAGTGATTTATTTAACATTAGAAAAGTTTCTCACTGAGAATTTTACAATAGAATTTTAGACACTGTAATTTGCTTAGCCAGCATTTTTCTATGATATATTTGTATTTGAATAAAAGTTTTCCCCCTCATAATCTAGTTTCTCCTACTTGATCATTGCACTGACGTCATAATGCTATATTTGACATGACATTCTTTAATTATGGACATAACTGCAATACCCTCTGAGGCACACTGTCACTGAATGTTGCCCTCAGTCTCAAATTCAATACAGGATCAAATAAGATCTTTAATACTGCTGTAGGACTCCTAGCTTCTAGATTTCCTGACTTCTACATGCTCTAAAACATTCAGCTTTATTATTGTATTAAAAAAAATTCCATTTAGTTTACTGATATGAGAATGTTTTAGTAAAATGATTTTTAAAACCATTTTTAAAGGGTGAACTATCCAAGGCTGCACTTTGCCTCTTATCATGAAAGAAAAACAGATTTACAGGGGCATTTCTTTCTGAAAATATACCGATCACAAATATGTTTCTGAGCTGGCTGGCTTTGACACCAGGATACACCTCACCATTAAAAATTTGTTAAGAATGTGGGTGTATATATATTTTTCTTTGAGTGCTTGTTCATGTCAATTCCAGTCAGGTGTGTGCATGTACACGTGCACAGTAGCCGGAAGATTTTTCCCCTAGCAGCAACTGTAGGGTCAGCCTGGGCGTCCCCTGGAGTCGTGCCTTCATGGCGCCCATTATAGAGCCCTGCTGCCCCTACACCCCCTCAGTTCCTTCTTACCGCCAGTGACAGTAGCTGGAACTTCCCCTTGCTCTTCTCTTGCTTCAGCAAGTGGATTAGCAGTGCTTTATATCCTGTACATAGTTAGTTTCCAGTAGTTAGTATTGTTTAGTAGTTCTTCATAAGTTTCAGATATGGGTCGTTCCCCCCCCCCAACCCCCTACCATTCCCCCTCACATTTGTTACTGGAGCATGCCGCGATCCCCGGGCTTTAAGACTTGCCAGATTTGCGCGAAGCGCATGCCAAAAAGTGACCCCCACATCTCCTACTTACGGTGCCTGGATGAGGATCACCAGAAAGACCGCTGCAAGATCTGTCGGGAATTCCAACCGAGAACCATTCAGTAGAGGGAGTAGCGTCTCAAAATTCTCCTTATGGAGGCAGCTCTCTGAGCTCAGTCGGATCCAGGCGCCAGGGATCCTGCTCCAGCAGGCTGTCTTCGGCGCAAAGCACTCCGGCGCTATCTTTGAAGGATCCAGTGCCAAAGAAAGATGCTGGCAAGGAAACTCAGCACCGTCATGGAGCCTCTTGGGGACATTCCAGCCTTCAGCACCTGTCCCAATCGCCGGCGTAGAAGAAAAAGAGGTTGGAGAGAGGCTGATCTCCCTCAGCAAGACCCAGGGAC